CAACTGTTGTGGCTAAGACTTTAATTTTTTAATGATCTGATTTTTGTCAGGATAAAAAAAATCTGCAAGAGCATGCGTTGAGGCAGCTAGAAGATTCCAATACCATCAATGGATTTTGATGAGGGTGAAAAAGACAATTAGAATTACAAATTCTTCAAATTCATCTAATTAAATAGTATAATTAGCACATGTGTATGGGCACCAGTTTCAAATGATGACTACTTTCAGGCTCATCCATTATGACTTAGAGAGAGAGAAGAGAGAGAGATACTAGTCTTTACCTGTGGTTTTGTCCTGGGCAGCACTCTGAAGGTGGTCTAGGTGTTTTGAGAGCTTAGGAAAGGTCACCCTCAAAAGGTCACGGAATACCGCCATGTCAACTGACAGAGCCCTCAGATTGTGAGCATAGTAACCCTCAGGTAACACATGGTCAATCAGGTAAATCATCACCTGTAGGAATAAGTGTACCTGTATAAATCTGTAGTAGTACCTGAGTAGGTAAACTGTACCAGCATAAACAATCACTAGACAAAACTAGTAATAGCACCAGCATGTGTTATTTACTGAGTAAACTTGCAGAATTTAATTAACATTTACAAAAAACATTCTGCAAGATTTTCCTTGCTGATTGTAAACTTCATTTTAAAGGAGGTGCATGTAAGGCATTTCTAAACCCTTATTAATTATGTGCACAGAGTCAAAACAGGCAGAAGTGATCAGTACTATACTGTTCTAACTGAGCTTAAGATTTATGATTGTGCTAAGTTTCTGTGTTACCAAATGAAGAGTCATTGTCTCCCTTGGATGGGGCACCAGAGTCTGCTGTAGTTAACCACTAGCATAATAAAACTCAGTGTCCACTGTTAACAGCTGGACTGAGATTATTCCAATGAAAAATGCCTTGTCCATTAGGGTAATTATTTTAACTGTCCTATCAAGTACCCACAATGGGATTTGAAGCAGTTATTTGAAACATCTACATGACTATGATGAAAGAACTATGGAGTACCTTCTCCAATAACACCTTAATAAATACGTATTTATGTTTTATACATAAAATAAGAAATTCGACTCAAAGATTTAACAACAATTTATGAGGATCTACTGACTAATTATGATGTTCAGACAGCTTTATTTATGAACGATCAATAAAAAATTTCATAGAATGAAGTGGACCTAGGCAAACCACCAGATTTCACTGGGGCAGAGGGGGGAAGTTTGCCATATTAATTGTTTCTTCCAATATCATGTCTTTTTAAGTGTTACATAGTACATTACAAATTATTATATAGTATATTAATACTTTATATTGTAAATTATGAAACATCATCAGGTCTTCGAAAAAAGGGATGAAAAAATATTTCTTAATCCTTATCTAGAATGTAAATATGAGAATTCTATAATAAACTTATTTATTCTAATGACAACAAGACACTGACCAGTTAGTAGATAGATGGCAGAAAAACAAAGCTGTTACTTTGAAATTCATAGCATATGTCAGGCAATTGACCCAAAAGAATCCCTCAGAGTTCTCCTGGGAGTCCACAGTTTTATGTCAATCAGACATGCAGACCTGAGAACATTAAATTGATTTACCAGGAAACCTACTCATCAATATAGCACTAAGTCTTGTATTGTCAAAGGAACTGACATACCACGCAGGAGTGGAATATTGTTGTTGACCAAACATAAACAATTACATAGATATCGTAAATGTCTACATTTAATGAGCATTTATGCTTTGCAGAACCTGACAGAACTAATTTAGGAATAAATTGAAATGAACTGAAGTAAAGCAGTACCTCAAAGAGATTGAATCAATTAAAATATTCCTTAGATCCCTATTTTTTGGTGATTACAGTAAAACTTAATTGTTTAGTACAAACACGGATATGGCGAATTCAAGGATATAGTGAAGTTATCTTGGATCCCCAGGAACATTTATTTCACGAATTCCTTATACGAATATAACAAATTACGGATATAGCGAAGTAATTTCATACGTCCCAGTGATTTTGTTATAACTGACATTATAAAAGAGTTTTAGTGTACATACTAGCTTATTTAATGGAATTTTTTTTTTTAATTTAACATTTACTTTTTTGATGTCAAATCTTGAAAAATTTTTAATATCTATTCCCTCCTATGAACATTGAGGCATCTCCATATGATTGAAAAATTCTCAAGAGGGGGCGTTAAACAACAAAACAATCAATAAATCCAATGAACATTGATATAAATTCTCAATTATATATAATGTTTATGTCTTGACCTTAATTAGTCACCAATGAGAAAAAAAATGTCTATTTCATTGAATTCTTCAAGATATTTTTTTTCCTGAAATTGAATATCTACTTAAATTAAACATGTGATCATATGCATGATTCAACATAGTAACAGATGAAAAGCATATTGAATCAAGAAATTGTGAAAAAATGAGCTGCAATAGGAATGGTTTAGACGTACTTTTAAAATGTTTCTTTATATTAGACCTCGTCTATTTAATGAATATAGGTGTAAAATCACTTGTGAATAAATGTTTATATGTATAATTATAGTAACAGATTTTGAGATACACTGAGTTAACACTGGTTTTAACAGACAGCAATAAAAGTAAAAAAAAAAATTAAAAATGCATTACATCAAACTTAAAACTATTGTTTAGATATCATTTTAATCAGTCTTCAAACTGGGAAAATGACAGAAATCCATGTAACTTAAAAAAATTAAAAAAGTTTAGACATGAAAAAAATATCAACAATAATTATACATAAAAGCATTTACTTGTTCATACAATTCCCTGATGAGAAATTAAGTTTCTTTGATAAGAGAAATACCAATAAAGTATTAAATTGCCACACAATGAATGTATAAACATTCTTTATCAATGCTCAACTAATTCTATAAGTTACACATCAATGATGATGTAGCTAGCAGCGAATATTTGTGCACAGATATATTGACTTCATTTCTATCATTTTAATACACTTGTTCATGATGTACCATATAAAGTAAAAAAACGTTTTAGAAAAATAAAACTGTGTGTGAGTGAGGAAGGGGGGGGGTCGATATTGGAAGTTGCTCATGAAGTGAAAATAAGGCTGAAAGCTTGCTTGGTAATGACAGGCAGTTTTAATAGTTTTTGTTCTTTCAAAAAAGAAAATTATTTAGTTGCCTTTTAAGAATCTTCTGAAAATCAGTTGTTACATGTATATGTCTATTTGATTCCCTTATGGCATTTTACATACATTGTTATTTATAAATTTTATCTGACAAATTAAGCATTTTCTTGGTTGTAATTAAAATATTACTAACACATTCTGTCCAGTTTTATGTTACAAGTAAGCATGTTACTGTCACATAAGCTATAGAGCTTCAGGAAAATCCAATTTCCTGCCAATCTCCCAGGAAGCCCCGCTCTATCACTGTGAGGCTCTGATGAGTTTACTTCAAGCATGATAGAATTGTGCAACCACAGCAAAAACTGAACCACAGCCATATTCCAGGGATGGACATTTTTACTGATTTGAACAAAAACTTAATATTTCAATCAGTTCCCTCCTTTCAAAATTTGTTTCTCGATCTGTACAATTTATGGTTAAACTTCGCAATGTTTTAATTAGGTGATCTGCATTTCCGCCTTCTTCGTGCTAGACTTTCTGTACTGTCAAATCCCAATCTTTTAGTTTTTAAAACATTTTTATTTTGTAAAGTAAGAAAGAGGTTAGGGAGTGGCATTGGTAGTTGAAGAAAATTCACTAGTTATAAAAGAAAACTTTGTTTAATATTGTTTTAATTTTTTAATTAAGAAAATGTATAATTATAATTATTTGAAAATCTGTCCCCATTCCCTATATCAATTATTTAATACGGGCATTTATGTTAAATATATATTACATTTAATAATTAGCTTATTTTAAATCATAAAAACTTTCAAGTTTTTGACAATTGACAACCAGAGAGATCTATAAAGCCTTCAACTTCAGACTATAAATGCCAGTTATATCATGTATATCAGAAATCAACAGTATTAGATTCCATTAACTTTTTTTTGCTTTGACAATAACTTTGACCTTCCTTTATGTGGTATTAAATAGATATGGTATCCTTGACAACACGCGATAGATCAGCTGACAGAGAGGTGTTAATATGTATTCCAACCTCCAGATTTCTCACCATTATCCCCAGTAATATTACAGAGCTTAAAAGAGAATGTTATAAGTATTGATTTCTGTATACTCTTAATTAATAAAGCACCACTGAACCTTACATCACAGGCTGCTCAATTAAATACCTATTTTTTTCTGTTTTCCAATATATTTCAAGAAAAGTGTACTAGTGATTTTTTTAAATACTATAAACAAATTAAAAACAGTCATGCAAATACACAAGTTTCTAAATTATATAATTTTTTAAATCTTAAATGAAGAGCATTTAACTTACCTAATTTATTAACTCTGTTTTAATTTTTAACTATTTTGAGCACTGGAAAAAATGTTTGTTGGCAATTTCTTGCAACTACTAAATAATTATTGTAATTAAGCTACAAACACAAGATATGCTGCAGATGACATTTCAACATACGATTTTCCTATCGCAAGCATCGAGACATTCTAAGTTCCTCTGATACTATGCAGCTTCAAACTAAGTCATTTGTTAATCATCACTGATAACTCTTGACCTAATGGTCTTGACTTAAACCTTGGACTTGACTTACATTTGAAAAATTTAACTTGGCCAAAGCTGTTAAACCGGCTTTCATACTCTGCAGGTGTATTCCTTGTGAACTCAAGCAGGCTTCTCTCTGAGTAACAGCATTTTTTCATATATAGACCTAGGAGTTTAACTTGCAATTGAGAAACTTTAACCTTTGCCATGAGCTGTCATATGAGGGTATCAGTGTTTTCCAAACAGATCTCCTTTTAATTCTAAGTTTATCAACAGCTCTAATCTATCAAAAGATCACTGCAGACACTGGGTGACCTTCCTATCAATCATAACTCCTGTGCGACCCCTGTAGGATCGCAAATTCTTCCTTCCTGGAGCTTTATCCTCCCTATCAGTATTGGATATTTAATGTCACCAGTATAACTGTATTTCAGATGTTCAACAGGACATATATCAATTGTTACTCAGCATGAGCTTCTGCCATGAAGCCATATATGTACTAAATCTTACATTCAAATGAGGTATTATCTGAGCCTTAATTGCTCTCCATGTAAATGTCAACCTCATCAGCATTATCTTCAATTTCTTATGACGCAGAAGCCAGCTTGCTAGAATTGCATGTTGAACAAGAGCCCAGAGTAAAAGACAGATCTGGTGTTAAACAAGAACAAATTAAGCAGGCTCTGATATGATTCCTAGAGCCATTAAGTTTCTGTGACAAAGGACCTGAGTGTCATTAGTAAGCTAAGAGCCATTATCGTCACATTTCTCACTTCATAAGGAGACTAGAAACTCCAAATATTGATAACAAGAATGCTTATAATGTCCTTTTTTAATTTACTTTCTCACAATTTTTATGAAGATACATATAAAACATGATTACTTATATGATATCAAGTGTTAAACTGTACCAGATTCTTTTACTGTAAATCACAGAGCTTCAGATCTGCGGCATTTAATTCCTTTTCTACTTTGGATGACAAAATATAAATAATAAAAAAAAATAATGTCAGTTCAAAATGTTAACTTTTTGAGATCTTTAAACATTATTTACTATTTTTTCACGACACCTTACTTATCAAGCTAGCAAATTGTTATTTAGTATACAATACATTCAAAATTTTTGTGAGCTGTGTGTAATGTTTGATTGTGATAAACAAAAATATGCATATGCAATAAAAAAACGCAGAAAGATTCGTGTAATTACAGAAAGTAGTTCTAACAAATGAAAAGCAATCGGCAATCCTCAGCTGACTCTGCTTCGCTCCATTCAAACCTCCGATGTGATTCATGGAGGAATACGCATCAGATCCTTACATTTCTCCACTGAAAACTGCCTTATCACTCATTTCATATTTCGCTCTGCATAACGTTCTTCGAAAATGTTTCTTAATTTGTACAATTCTTTATCATAAACAGGTTTTGATTACAACCTCATGTTAATAGGCTTTGAAAGCAAGAAAAAACTGTTGCGTGTGCCACAAAATAACCTTGATTTCAAATATATGACATTTGAAAGAAATTCAAATAAGATCACATGACTGAATCAGCAAGATGGTAGAACACCGTTGACGTCCAAGGTTATATGGTACGAGTCATCCGAGGAACTCCGAGTAAATGAAAAGTGAAATGAAATTTTCGTTATTTTTATCTTGTTTCTCAGGGCCATGAAATAAATTTGTCATGTACAAAAGAAATATGAGAGTTTCTGAGATTTGATTAGGACTAGCTAAGAATTTAGGAAGGGATAAAAACATCACTATATCAGTTAATCTGTGATATCCAAGTTCTTAGTAAATGAGATTTACTGCACTATAAAGGTGTCCTTTTATCTTGGATCAATAAAATGTTGAAACTTGACCCTAATTAATTATCATAAAGAGTTTGGAAAGAATGAAAAAAACCTATCATCTGTTACCATTAAAGCATCATCTTAAACATAAGCTTGACGGAGAGTTTAGAATGGACAGAAAATCAACTTGTACTGAAACTTGACAGAGAGGTTTATAGTGGACAGAACATCAACTTATACTGAAACTTGACAGACTTGACTTGAAAGTGGACAAAACTTGCTGTCTGTTACCTTTAAGGCATCGTCTTCCTTTCTGTCCATCACTTCCAGTAACATGGCTGCTATAACGTTGAAGCCCTGACAATACCCAACGCTCTTGTTCCATCTAGCGTATCCCAGCAGCACCCTCTTCAGTACCGATCGGTCTTCATCATTTTCCTGTCCACTAAATCCACTACATCCTGTTCTGTGCAAGTCCTGAAATAAAACAGATCATCATGTTTTAGAATTGATTCTTCTATGACTTCCTCTGTTTGTGGTTAATTCTACAGATGTATTTTTTAATAACATCATAAGCAACTTTGAAGTTCACATGTTAATGCAATGCAGTTGTGGTGAAACAACAGAAAAATCTGGGAATATCCTGATAAATAATATTTAATTTAAAAATTATATCATTAAATTATAAGATGACACAAAGATTGTTTTGTATAATTGGTAAACTGCCATAAGGATCATGTATCAGTATCATACTCATGCAACATAAAAAAAAATCAATGAAATAATATCCCAGGCCATATTAGCTGACTCTTATCCAATGTAAATTTTTGTGCAGCACTATGATCTGAGCTAATTTCCCAATACTGTACTCTATGATTAGAATACAGCTGTATGTGAAATGTCATCTTTAACATGAATTTTAATCAATGAAAAATGTTAGGTTCAAATACATGTATCAATGTTATCATTAATATTAAATTGCTTGGACTTGTAACAAATTATTATGTTTGGCATGAACTGCTGAGCATTCTTGAAGTGATAAATATTTGTAAGATTCTACTACATGTAGCTGCTACCATATTTGGCAATTTTACACCTTCCATGTATAAAACAGTTGACCACATTAGATGTACTTTACCTTGACGATTTGAATCCCAAGGGAGTCGTCATCTGGATTACTGCGGTCATTAAACGCGAATCGGAGAGTCTTCGTCCAATCAATGCTCTGCTCCCTTATGTAATTATCAGCCAGGCTCAGCCAAACCTAAAATACAAACTCAATATAGATAAAAACAATGAAAACATTAAGAGATTCTGTAACTATCACAGACAGGGACTTCTGAAGACTTCCATTTCAATTTTTCATGATAAACAGACAATTATATCATCATAATGGGTCTCCATTGATCTTCTACATATAATCAATGTGCAAATTTGTCTGATTTGAGAACTAATAAAATTTGTTTGTCTTGTAACCTAACATAATCGTCATTCCATGAGGCTGTCTAAAGTTAATTCTATGTTTAATAATGTCACCTGCCTGAATAGATTTTGGAGAAATTGGCATGCTTAAAAAAACACAAATTGATATTTTTAAAGTTTATATTTCTGCAGTTTTCTTTGATTTTTAGCAACTGAAACAGTGTTGCACAGGAATAGATAATATTTGGGTCTTGTATGTGGTTTGTTTGAGGTGTGTCTCTAATTTATACTGAAAAATTGAATACAAATTCATCACAATACTATTAGAAAACTTGATGCTCAGATATTTATGTATTTGTAAATGAGTGAATATTCATTTGTTATAAGTTTTGTTTGTTTGATTTTATTCTTCATCCCTCTTAGGTTTTGAGATTTAAGGTGACATTAAATGAAGAATTAATTTCAGCCAGCCTAATCTTTAACAAGTTTGATTTTTACACAGTCCATTTGTCAATTCTTTCTATGCCCAAGAAATGACAAAATGCTAAAAAAAAATGCAAACAAAAATATCATCCATTTGTGAAGTGTGATAACGGTCAGTTAAAGATGCCTTGTAGGAAGATTCAGAATTGCTAACACTATGTCAAGCTAGTAATGAATGTGCATTAAAGTACATCTATAGATCTAGAAGGTCATATTTTTCTGCAGACAGGAAAAATCCATTATAATGCAATATCTTGACATTTGTACAAAGAACAGATATCCTGCCTCAGACCCAATATAGTTCATGTTGCCAGATTTAGCATAGAATGATTACTAAAATTAATCTTAAGGACAAATGATGCATACAAAAAAATGGATGCCTGGATTGGTATATATTTTTGAGTCTTTAATTTTTGTTGCAAATGATGCAAATAATAAATTTCTAAAATATTAAGAATTTGTAACCCTGTAACGATGTTAAAAATTTTACCTTTCTACAACCATTGTTATTTAATCTAATGTGAAATCTTTTTTCACTTTAAATCAAATTATAGTAAAACTGTATAATTTTTTTTTAATCATTTTAATCATATATAAACATAAGCCAAATTGTTATTTTCAATTTTTGGGGGAAATATTTCCACATGGGGTATGTACTTTAAACTTAAGTCTTTTCTTGTTAAGGCACGTACAAACCTTTTTTACACCTGGAGTATGTACATTTCTTGTTAAGGCGCATACAAACCTTTTTCCTGAAGCTGTCGGGTATCCCATGAGGCAGTCTGGCCACGGCCCTCATAGCGTCCTTCCATTGGTCAAAGGCACTGGCTCCAGGCAGGGGCTCCAAACTAAATCGGATCCTGGTGTCGATTCCTAAAATAAACGGAAATAAATGTATGATATCCATTATTTACACTTTGTACCTAAAAATACCATTGCAGAATGAAGAATCCTAAGTTGAAACTTAATTTGCATAGTGTGTAATTCTGAAACATCAAATACATATACCTCAGTTGGTTGTTACGTTTTTATAACTAACAATATGGATTTGTAATTGAGTTCTCCACAACGTAATTACTTAATTATTAATATAAATCAGTTATTCTTTAATATGGGGTTTACTGGTAAAAAAGTGGTTGTGGAAACTTGATTTTGTAGATGAATAGCAATAGGGCTGACTTGTTGTATGTTTGAAATTTTGCATTTTGTGAAGGACATAAATTGTGCCACTGGGTCTCTTCACACAAAAACAAAGGAAATTACAGTAATGTAAAAAAAAAATATTGATTTCATAGTATTTGTTAATTTGAAGATTTCTAAAAATTAGCAATTCATGATAAGTAAGGAGAGCCCAAGAAAATGCCCCACTTTTTTTTACTTGTTTTGGGGAAAGGGGGGGTGGTTGTTAAGTAATGATAGACAATGTTTGTTAAAAATATCTTGTTCTTATACACTCTGTATATTTACCATTTGTTCTCATGTTTGAACTTTCTAATTCCTGCATAAATCATTCTGAATTGGGGAATACTTTTCACTTTGTTTTGGATTTTTCCAATTATAAATGTTTATTTGAATAAACAAAATACTCTGAATGATATTAATTAATATTAAATTAACAATGGAAAATATATTTACATCTAAATCTGCTTGATAAGAACATATACTAAAAACTTGCTTACTATGGTTATTAGCATCTCAAAATGCAACTCTTATTATCTTGCTCATCAGGCAAAAATATCCAATTAGGAATTTCAAAAATAAATCAATGTAAATCACTGGCAGTGTATTGATAAATTCTTACAGAGGATGATGACAAAATTAACCCAACTGAAATCTTCTACGTCAATAAACCTCAACTCCGCAAAGGTACATAAATAGATTTATTATAAAGACACCCCCCCAGACAGTGACAAGAACAATGCCATTATTAGCTTAATTTCACTTGCTGATAAAATTCTCTGATCTCCCAGGAAACTAAACCCCAGAGAATTAATACAGGCCAAATGGGACTCTTAAAATAGCTCCTTGTGACAGGGCATGTACAATAAAATACCATTAGCCAACACAAAAAAAAATTCTACTATTCCATTCATGATGGTAAAAAAAAATTACAAGAAAAAAAAATTGGTAGTATTGATCAAGGTTGATAGGGCAATTTACATTAATATGGAAAAATTAATAATAATATAACACATTAGTAACTTAAATTTGAAAATATGCCACACAGTATTTAAAACTTACTTCTAAACTATATATGGATCTACTGATATAATTTATCCAATTAAGCGTTTTCGTCTGATCAGAACACGCGTTGGGGGTGGGGGTGGGGGGGGCTTACGTTCTCTGCTTCAACTTACTCGTAATTATTGAAAGTATTGATATTTTTTATTAGACCGCGATTTTTTCTGTTAAAATTCTCATTCATAAAGAATTAAACACGTGACGAATCGTAGCCCATATACTCACAAATGTAAATATACCAACAACTACGTACCTTCATTCACGGTTTTTGTTCTCTTTGGTGAAAATGACAACTGTCCAATACTATTTAAAAATCCAAACATCGTTTTAAAAAATTTTCTTTAAAATTGACATTAATTCATTGCCGTTGTCTTTGAATTAACACACACGGGTACAGCAGGTGTAATTCGTGATACTCAGCTTAGATAACTATGCTGTCACAACTCACGATCCCTGGGGACTATCATAGATTTAATCTATCCATTGTCCAAAAAATCGATAGTTTTGAGGTGTATATGTCATCAACGTTATGATGGAATTCAAACAAAGTAACTTGCGATGTCAAGAACATTTCAGAAATAATTCGGCTAAATCCACAGCGGTTTTTCAAAAAAATCTCGTATAAATATATCTGTAATAATTTTAGTTAAAACTTTTATAACACCGAATATGAAATAACTGTCTCCATTTCAGGGTTTATACCGCCTTCAGTCATTAAGAAAAATCACACATCGGAATGATCGCCGAGTCTAAATGCTAATGTCTCTATCTCTCTGGGAACATATTCGTCCCACTCAAAAGCGGACAGCCTCCTCTGGAAACATCGATTCTACTCTCTCCGTTTTATCTTGGTCTCATCTAAGATAATATGGAAAGAAAGTCCAACGTTCCTTCTATTTACAACACCGCTCTATCAGTAACTGTCTCTAAATCATTCACAAAACTAGTAATCAATTCTCCAAAGGACTCAAAGACAAAGAGTACGCTCTTTAATAACTATTCTCAAAGACGATCCATTTTTTGTGCGCTTAAGTAAATTTCCCTTCCATTACAGATGAAGAAAATAATAAAAGCAGATAGAGTAACAACAGAGTGATCAATATTGGTATCTAAAGGTCAAAACAAGGGTCCAATATCGATATTTCTCCCCCAAGATCAAGTATAGCGGGAATATGTACAGTAATGGAATACAGACACACCGTGAAGTTATTTCCAATCAAAGCACCAAGAAATCAAATTTAACAAAAAGAATCGAACATTTAGTAAGTTCGGTTACAGAAGGAGCGTAACCCCGGCGGTTATTATCACCTTCGGAGAATTTCCAATAATGACGTAGGTTAGACTTTTGTTCGACTCTTTCGATAACCATTTACGATGGTGAAGGTTTATAGTTTTCACTGCCCCTACCTTAGATAAACACCCACGTTTATTAATACTGTTTGTTTGTCGAGTACTCTTTGATGACAAACGCGAGGAAAAGACAAAAGTAAACGACTTGGAGCACCTGCTAGAATTCTCAGTATACTGTGAAAGCTTCTGTTTTCTATACGAAATGGACGAAAATAAACGGTAAAAACGAACATAACAACGTCAATGAAAATTGGAATGGAGACATCACAATACTGATATTGTTTTTTTAAGAGCAGGACCATCTGTGAGTAGCTATTTTTATTTCTAGTTCAGAGAAATAAAACATGGTCAGATTTAATATATGATAGCAGAATATTTTAGGCAACCTTTAAAAAGATCTTACTGAGCGACATTTTTGTATAAAATGCGAAAGAAGATTCTAATTACTAGTAGCATAGACAGCTGATACATTTTTATGATTTATTTCCATGTTTTCGCTGTAATGATTTCTCTACATAATCCAGAACTCAGTTTAATTCATTGATCATACGTCACAGTCCAGAAGTAAAGAAAGGATTTTCAAGCATGTATATTGCATTTTCTATAAACTTTGCCCCCAAGCTGGAAGCTACATAAGCAGAAATTTTTGGAGTCCAATTTCATTACGCTTATTTCGCTGAATCTCATTTACATTCATGTAATGATGCAAATAGTTTTTCTCTTATGGAGAAGTGGTAAGAAGGGTAAGAAAATTCAAGACTCTCAAAGTTTTTCTTTTTCTACTTGCAAACAAGTTCACTCTGTTTGCAGAATTAAAATTTGGGGGGTTTTTTTGCTATGAAGTTTGGCCCTTTTATCTCAGGCCATATGAATGTAAGGTTCAATCCTTGCATCTTAGGCCCTTTGAGTGTAGGGTTTGCATCTTAAGCTCCGTAGGTGTGAGGCTTGACCCTTTTACCTCAAGCCCAATGAATGTAAAGGTTTGACCATGATATCCTAGGCCCCATGGGTGTGAGGTTTTACCCTTGTACCTTAAGTCCTCTGAGTGTCAGGTTTGACCCTTGAACCTCGATGGGTGCATGTTTTGACTCTTGTACCTCGGTACCTATGTAAGGTTTGATCCATGTAACTCAGGTCCTCTGGGTGTAAGGTTTTACATTTGTACCTCAAGCCCTACGTTAGTTTTGACACCTGTAGGGTTTGTACCTTAGACCTTATGGGTGTAATCAGGTCCTATGGGTGTCAGGCTTAACCGTTGAACCTCGGGTAATATGGGTGAAAGATTTCACCATGGTGCTCCAAGCCCTATTAGTGTAAGGTTAGGCTCTTGTATCTCAAGCCCTGTGTTAGGTTTAACATAGTAACATTGACCTTATAGGTGTAAGGTTTAACCCTTGTAACTCAACCCCACTGGGTTTAACGTTTGAATCTTGTTTCTCAAGCTCTGTTGGTGTTAGGTTTGAGAGTTGTACCATAGACCTTATGGGCATAAGATTTGTACTTCAGGCCTCAAGGATGAAAGTTTTGACATGTGCACCTCAGGCTCTATCAATGTAACTTTGACCTTTTATCCTTAGGCCCTGTGGGTATAAGGTTTGCTCCCCAGTACCACCAGCCTTATGGCTATAAGGTTTGACCCCTGTACCTCTGGCCGTATGGGTATAAAGTTTTTCCCGTGTATCTCTGGCCTTATGGTTATATGGTTTGAACCCTGTACCTCTGGCCTTATGGGTATAAGGTTTGACCCCTGTACCTCTGGCCTTATGGGTATAAGGTTTGTCCCGTGTATCTCTGGCCTTATGGGTATAAGTTTTGTTCCCTGTACCTCTGGCCTTATGGGTATAAGGTTTGACCCCTGTACCTCTGGCCTTATGGGTACAAGGTTTGACCCCTGTACCTCTGGCCCTTTGGGTACAAGGTTTGACCACTGTACCTCTGGCCTTATGGCTATAAGGTTTGACCCCTGTTCCTCTGGCCTTATGGGTATAATGTTTGTCCCCTGTACCTATGGCCTTATGGGTATAAGGTTTGACCCCTGTACCTCTGGCCTTATGGGAATAAAGTTTGACTTACCTCTGGCCTTATGGGTATAAGGTTTGACCCCTGTACCTCTGGCCCTATGGGTATAAGGTTTGACCCCTATACCTCTGGCCTTATGGGTATTAGTTATGACCCCTGTATCTTTGGCCTTATAGGTATAAAGTTTTCCCCCTGTACCTCTAATCTTATGGATATAAGGTTTGACCACTGTACCTCTGTCCTTCTAGGTATAAAATTTGACCCCTGTTTCTCTGGCCTTATGGGTATAAAGTTTAACCCCTATACCTCTAGTCTGATGGGTATTTGGTTTGACCCCTGTACTTGTGGCCTTATGAGTATAAGTTTTGACCCCTGTACTTCTGTCCTATGGGTATGTTTGCTCCCCAGTACCACTGGCCTTATGGGTATAAGGTTTGACCCCTGTACCTCTGGTCTTATGGGTATAAAGTTTTTCCCGTGTATCTCTGGCATTATGGGTATATGGTTTGTACCCTGTACCTCTGGCCTTATGGGTATAAGGTTTGACCCCTGTATCTTTGGCCTTATAGGTATAAAGTTTTACCCCTGTACCTCTAGTCTTATGGATATAAGGTTTTACCACTGTACCTCTGTCCTTCTGGGTATAAAGTTTGACCCCTGTTTCTCTGGCCTTATGGGTATAAAGTTTAACCCCTATACCTCTAGTCTTATGGGTATTTGGTTTGACCCCTGTACCTGTGGCCTTATGAGTGCAAGTTTTGACCCCTGTACCTCTGTCCTATGGGTATGTTTGCTCCCCAGTACCACTTGCCTTATGGGTATAAGGTATGACCCCTGTACCTCTGGCCTTATGGGTATAAAGTTTTTCCCGTGTATCTCTGGCCTTATGGGTATATGGTTTGAACCCTGTACCTCTGGCCTTATGGGTATAAGGTTTGACCCCTGTTCCTCTGGCCTTATGGGTATAAGTTTTGTTCCCTGTACCTCTGGCCTTATGGGTATAAGGTTTGACCCCTATACCTCTAGTCTTATGGGTATAAGGTATGACCCCTTTACCTCTGGCCCTATGGGTATAAGGTTTGACCACTGTACATCTGGCCTTATGGGTATAAAGTTTGACCCTTGTACATCTAGTCTTATGGGTATAAGGTTTGAACCCTGTACCTCCGGCCTTATGGGTATGAGGTCTGACCCCTGTATCTTTTGCCTTGTGGGTATAAGGTTTAACCCTTGTACCCCTGGCTTTATGGATATAAGGTTTGACCACTGTACGTCTGGCCCTATGGGTATAAGGTTCGACCCCTGTACCTTTTGCCTTGTGGGTATACTATAAGGTTTAACCCATGTACCTCTGGCTTTATGGGTATAAAGTTTAAATCCCTGTACCTCTGGCCTTATGGGTATAAGGTTTGACCACTGTACCTCTGACCCTATGGGTATAAGGTTTGACCCTTGTACCTTAGTCTTATGGGTATAAGGTTTGACCCCTGTACCTCTGGCCCTATGGGTGTAAGGTTTGACCACTGTATCCCTTGTCTTATGGGTAAAGTTTTATCCTACTATCTCAAACCCTGTGGCTTAAATATTTGACCCTTGTATCTCAAGCTCTGTTGGTGTTAAGTTTGACCCTTGCACCTTAAGACCTATTGGTGCAATGTTTGAAACTTGTACCTCAGTCCCTATACTAGGAGTAACGTTTGATCCTGGTTTCTCAGGCCTTTTGTGTGTTGAAACTGATACTCCTTAAGGCTTTGGTGAAAGGTTTGATCCTTGTACCCCATGTCCTATGGGTGTAAAGTTTGACCCTTATACCTTTGGTCTGATGGGTGTAAAGTTTTACCCTTGTACCTAAGCCCTATGGATGTATAATTTGGTCCTTGTACCTTAGGCCCTATGAGTGTAAGATTTCACTCATGTTTTGTAGGCCCAGTATGAGTGTATGGTGGAATGTTTAACCTCAGAGTCTAATGGGTGAAATGTTTGATCATTTTACCT